ATTTCATCTTCCACGGTGTTACAGTTTCACGTTGTTATTCGTTGAAGCAGTGTCCACAAGAAAATTATACAACGATCATAAAATGTTTACGCATATCGGCCGCGAACATGTTTGCCGACGAGCGAACGTGTCGGAACGTATTCCAATACACGAGGTCGTTGAACGACGCGGTGAAAATTATGGGAATTCTCACCTGCCTCGAGTTTCATGGATAAAGGACTCAGGGGCAATCGAGGGCAGTTTCTTCGGGGTGGACGAGTCTCAAGAAGGTGTAGCAAATACCAAAGCGGAGAAAGTGTCAAGGAGATGGGAACTAGAGAAAATTTTCTTTGAAGGTCGTTTCGAAATGAAGCATTTTTGAAGATTGAAGGGCACTCGACGATGTTTGCACGGTCGACCGATCGTCCTACGCGAAATGTATATTTGAGAGAATCAGGCTGCCTCCGCGGTCCACGCCGGAACGTGTCGATTTATCTTCTTATCGACTGATTTTGCTGTTGGCTGTATTCGCGTAACAACGAGATTAAATGGCACTCGAAATTGCGCGGCTCTCGATTCGATCGATCGCGAAGCAGTGTTTATTTGCTCGATTAGTAGTCTTCTACCTGCGCAAACGGAAACGAGGTAACGACGCGCCGCACCATCGCTGCGTGTTGAACATTCCATCTCGGTGGTTCGATATTTTAAACGCGTACGGATTCGGCATTTTTATTTTTCATACGATTAAACGCGAACAGATTTAAAATAAAAGTCACAGAAGAAATGGTAACCTGCAGTTTTTCCCCTTTGCCGGAACGGGATTTTAATGGGCTAAAGTATACCCTTTTAGTCAGCAGGTGGTATAAAACTCGGAACGTGCTTCAAATGGATAATATAAACGCTTCGTGGCATAACATTATACTTCGTAAATGGATTTTACCTCGATTATTATATCTTCGAGAAAAATGGAACAAAGGAGCTCGTTAATGCGCCTGTACACGCAACCATTTATTATTTACGCTTGCGAACGTGTACCGTGCTTGGGAAGACGCAACGTCTGGCCATATGCTACGCTTTGTTTTCAAACGCTTTTCACACGAACTGTAGCACATCGCGGTTCGAAAGTCGATCGCTACGGAATATAAACATACCGAGTTGCCTACCATCGTCCACAGTCCTCTGCGAACTACTTTACATATCTTTCTATTCGCAACGAACGCGATACATCGTCGAGGCGGAAGCATTTCTCTTTTCTTTCTTTCTTTCTCCTGGTGACGTTATTTTACCGGTAGTTACGCGTTTATCTCGAGAGAATGATCGAACGCTTAGAAAGAGAACAGGGAAAGACACGACACGAAGCAATCGCGCCACGCGACTAATTTCCATACCGCCCTCGTCACGAGCTTCGACAAACTGATCCACTAAATGGGGATTAATTAGGGGAATGATTTCGAGGCAGAGGGTCCTTCGTTGTCCGAACTTTCGACCAGCGCGTTGAAATCGCGGACTGGTCTGTTTACTCGAGGAGGGTGTCGATAATTGAACAGGGTGTCGAGGGAAATCTTTTTCACCCTCTACCGTGTAACCTCTCCGCGTAATTTTTGGCGAAATTTTTGGTCGAATTACGGCGCTCTTCGATATTAATCGACGCGCGCGTTTAGTTCGCTGGTTTTTGAAATATCTTGCAGACGAAACCGATATACAACGAGCCTGAGTGAAACGAACAGATAGGTCCGAGCTGTTGAACGTTCGATTCGACAGCTTTCACCACAGGAACGGTTCTTGTCGTTTTCGAAGGAAACGAACGAATATTCTAATTTCTACGATTTCTGCCCGATCTAGTTCAATCTCTTTTTTAACGAAATACCGTTACCTTACGTTACGACGTAAGTTTACGTTGTTCGGTTATCGATAAATCTGTTCCGGTTAAGGTAAGTTTACTACAAGGCGCGTAAAGATATACAAATTTGAAATACGTTCTCTAAAAGCGACGGGGCTGACGTTCGAATTTAGGCGAAACAACCCTTGACACACGGCGCCAAGATCGAAAAAAGGTGCACCCTACGAAATCAATCCTTCACGACGAACAATCGTCAAGACGAAACGATTCCGCGTTTCAAGGTATTCCATCGATCTCCCACGAGGTATAGCAGGCAAAACCAGCAGCAAGACCACTGTATAAACACAAAGGGGTTTCCCCGGGGGGGATGAAGTTGCTATGGGGGTGGCGCAGAGATTCTGCGGTCCTTTATGCCGGCGTTCTGCTAGGGCAAGCCCGGAGAATGCACGAATTACCGTTCGATTTGTAAATCAAACATTGACGCGACCGTGTGCAGACGCCGCTGGCACGGCCACCGGATGAGAGTGTTTTATCGCCTGATCGATGCTGGTTTCGCGGCGTTAATTCGACTAGAAAGCGTGGCACGATCGACTTCCCACCGAGACGAGGGAACGATTATTCCGTAGCGAGTCCTTGCGCCACCGAAAAGTATACCATAAATTTTCACGCATTTAAATCTAAAATCTAAAGATACGGAAACGCACCATGTAATATGCGTGTAATATGCACGTAATACGCAAATGTTTTTCTTTAACGTTACTTTCTCAGTTACGATCTTTAAAAGCCGAGATGCAGCTTTTTACGATCCTCGGATTCTATATGCACGTAATTATTATTTCATCGTAACGCGTTAATCGCTTTCGGACTGCGGGATACACGAAATTGCACGAAATATACTTGGCGAAACGAATCTCTATCTAGATCCTACCTTTTGTATAAAAAAAGACCAATGACCAAACTGGATCTTCTTTCGAATCTCATTCGCGACATTTTCCGCTACGTGTTACGATATTGGCTTAAATCGAAATAACAGCACGAGATGGCTCGTCGCGATCGATATCGCGGCCGTTTTCTCAAATTGCGTCATGAGAACGATTATCGGCATCGATCTTGGCCAACGCGTACCTCCCATTTCCGTGTCTGTTAATCTTCGAGTCGGTTTATTTTTCTTGGCCTTCGAAAGTTTATCAACGCGAGCGCAGACCGAGTGTTTGACAAGATAAAAAGCCTGTTGACCGATGCACGCTTGGAAAACGAAACAATTTCGATGGAAAGGCATGCGATGCTCGTGGCACGCGAGAATTCCCTCGCTGTATATTTTAATAATAAATCGATATCGGTTATTCGAGGCACAAGCGCTTCCGCCGCTGGTCTTCTTCGCGCGTTCCTTCAACCCCTTCGCCGCATCGCAGCTCCTTATCGCGCCACTATGCTGGCTTTATCTCGAGGGATGAGGCTCTTCTATGCATCGTAGGGAGAGAACGAGCGAGAAGAGCGTTGATTAAAATTTCAACAACGCCGACACGAAGTTGTCAAAGGGTTGTTGGCCGAGCGGCGCCGGAACGCCAGGCGCGGGTCACTCTAAGTAATTAAAGCCTCGTTTCTATTCCGTCCCCTGCTGCCCATCGTTTTCCGAGGTGTTCTTTCCTTCGTCCCGAATCTCTGATTTATACGAAGAGACGGAATCGCGAAGAAACTTCTTTGGTTCGGTTGCGCTCAGGAAAATGGGCAAAAATTGCTAAATTCCAAGCTTCGCGTATCTTCGAGATAAATTCGACACGAAGGGAATTATGACTTTGACCTACTTTCGCTTCCAATTATCGTATTTCTATCGCTTCGAGAAGCATCGTCGATGTCGAAGCCAAAATCTTATCGATTTGACGCGCATAGTAAAATTTAAGCACGCGCAAATTGTGCGTATCGCTTTAAATTATTCTCAGCATCGTAGCTCATTTTCCGTCGTGTTTTTACTACGCGTACCATTACACCGCGAACGTTAGAAACGTACGTAAACTCGAAGATTCGAAAATAAAGATAAATCAAACGAGAAATACTTCGCGTATATACGTTTCTTCCAAAATATTCATACGACGAATATGCCGCATTACACGTTGCAGTTTGGGATCGTACTTTTACCGTTTATATCATCGCTGTCATTAGCAAACGTTATTCAAACATATAAAATTAATCGATAGACAATTGATATGTAATATAACGATTATAAAAATAATTCCAACGTTACGTTCACGCCGAGGAATATTGTTGAAAATTAATTAAATAACTGTGGAAAGGTCGGGAGATATCGGAGATTACGACAAGGAGTATGTACATACTTACACACTACATAGAATCGTGGAAAAGTGAAATAGGAGGAACGTTCGCGTTGGTTCGGCAAAGCGTTAATTTCAGCAGCCTCGGAGCGCGAACGAGACGAACGAGCGAGTACAAACGAATGAAATTATCCGCATCGATGGCCAGGAACGCGATGCGCTTCCTGCAACGAGCCGTCGACTTACGACTCGGCTC